GACCTTTTGACCTATGTTTACTAAAGCTTTTTTACTCAGTACAGTGTACCCTATACACCATATAAATATTAAATTTTTTTTTTTTTTGAACACCCTGTATATTTTAGCAACGTTTATTTGCGGTATAAGGAATTAAGTGGTAAGGACTTGTCTGTTCTTAGTTTCTTTATTTAGAAGCTAGTTAAAATACTTTGACATATACAATATAGATGTAGTGATTCAGATAAATAAGTGCTGTTAAACATATGGGTGGCTGATCGAATCGTGAAACACATTTGATATGTGCGGTTCGAAGATAGTATTGCATAAATATTTAAAAATCTTTAATTTCGGGCGGGGGGCAATCGCTGGATCGATTAAAAAGATAACAATTGATACTGAAAAACTCCGTCACACGCAAAATGACTTCTAAAAGCGAATAAGTTATCTACCTGGTATTATACTTGTATAACATCGTAATTTATAAATAACAACAGACACATGGCCGGCTGATTGTATTCAAAATTTTTTTTTTTGTTCAACATTATGTCTATATAAAAATGTTCCGTACACGATGTGGTATGTAAAATTTGTCGTTAGCAGCTCAACGAAGGTCACTTATCGTAACATCACGAGTGAAATTTTTAATTTCTGTATTATGTCTTGAATACTAACAACGCGAACATGTTCGCTTACCTTTAGCATGAAAAAAAAAACATTTGTGACTTAATATGAGTAATAATTGCGATCAAATTAGGCCTTAAAAAAATTAATTTGATCTTACAACTTCGAAACAATTTTTATCTTTTTTTTTGTCTAAAATTATGTTTGCAATAATTTCGTTTTTTTCCTCCTAATATTAATAGTCTTAGCATATAATTTATATAGTTTCGTATTACGCGATTAAGAAGTTAAAGATTAAAGTGAATGGGCTATCTAATCTTTCTCGGAATTAATAGTGTCATTACGCATAAGCAAGTTCAATGTCGCAACAATAGTGTAATTCAGTGGCATAAGCAATACGGCAAGGTTTGATGTCTATTTTAATATCCAAACTCCACCGACATTCGTAACTCATAAGAAACACTTCTAAATCACGCTTACCTCTAATTATGCCACGTGATTATAGAGATTATAGGTTAGTTTAGTTAAATTACATATGTATTAATAATTTGTAATTCATGCTCAGGTTAGCCATGCACGCTACTGTAATCGATTCTGTATCAAACAATTTACAACTTGAGTATGGAACAAACAGCTCAAATGATCCGTGTAAATGTTCATCGCGGACCAAGACGAGTATCATTTACAAATTTGGATGCGAAGAAACGTAATATAGTAATCGCTATATTACATTTGATATTCTTCATTTCATCCAACAGTAACTACACACGTGTAAATATAATATACACCTATCTACAACAGAAATCTATTAAACTACATAGTGCCGCTATGCTCCCTGCATTTCTTGCACCCTCTTACACGAGGGCATCTCAATATTTTTAGCTTTGAAAAATAATTCTTGATCTCCAAAATTCCTTGCCTTCCACATCATTGTTTCCCCTAAACAGTACAACAATTCGTGTTTAAAGTCTAAATATATACAACATTTGAATACTAGAACAAATAAACAATAATGAAATACTTACTATAGCTTTTCTCTCTATAACAGGCATGTCTTAAATTATTCAGGTATTCTTCTTCCACAGAAATTTCCAGCCTCCGTAAGCTGCCTTGATATTCAGTGTGAAAGTTTTCTTTAACATAGTATGGTACCTTTAATCCTTGAGTTGTTCTCGGTACGGAATATTTTCTACAGAGGAAATAAAACGTAAGTATAATTACTATCACCAATTTGTTATAAGCATTTGAAATAAATTATTAACATACTTACGCGTTAGAATGCAAGCTGTATACAGGATCTGATATGAAAAAACTGCTCATCATAGTTAATAATATTAATAACAGGACAGGTAACATTTGAAGGAATGTGGTGTATCCATTTGCTTGCTAAAAATTATGATTTGATGTCATTCATATCACTGATAGTAGGTAAGAAGAATGTATAAATAAACATTTCGTTCTATTTTTATACCTGAGAATGTGCATGCTGAGCTTGTACATCTTGCTGTCTCATCCATCTTCCACCAGGACGTCTCATATAAAATTCCTGTTGCGGGAATCCACCGCCAAAGAATATATTAAACAATTCTTCTGCTGTAATATCAGCTGTAAAAAATTTATTATATTTAATAATATATTACAAATATTTGTAACAACTAGGTCTATTTTGACATTACTTTCAAACCCTCTTGTATAATTATAATGCGAATGATTTTGGCGGCTATGAGCATTCTGCACTCTTTCTTCCTCAGACCCATACATGTCGTATTGTTTCCTCTTCTCTGCATCAGTGAGAATAGCAACAGCATTTCCGATAGCTATGTGCAAAGTATATTATGTACAGTGATATTCATTATGAAACTATATCAAAATTATACTTTAACACAGTTCATTTACCTTTAAAGGCCTCAGCTGAACCTGGAGCTTTATTTTTATCAGGATGTAATTGAAGTGCTAGCTTTTTATATGCCTTTTTGATATCACTATCGGTTGCTTCTTTAGTTACACTCAAAATTTCATAATAATCTTTGCTCTTCTTAATTCTATAATTAAAGCAATTACGTTTATGTTAACAATTCCATTATAAGAGACAAAGGAATATGTTTTATTTATTTCAAATTATAAACAGTTGATATATCTGGAGATGACAAACACAAGTAACTTTTTGTGATTAATCATAACAAATGGTATTACATGTACATTTATTTATATTGTGAATATTAACTTAATTTCATTAACAAGTACATAATAGTATTATAAATTTAAGAACTCCTCTGTCACAAGAACTATTGCATTGCAACACTATCGACACACTTATGACCATTGTGATGAAAAATTAAAGATGCTTTGACATAATAAATGTAGGATTTAAATAGGTATTGAAATATTTGAAAATAGAACATCTATAGCACACAAGGATATGGCACCTTAAAGGATACCTTGTCTGCTTTATCATATGCAGAATCAGCAGTGAACATATAGAAATTTATGTCACACATGTACCTTATAACATGCTCAAGTTGTTCCTTTGTATAATCAGCAGAAGCTTGAACTTGTGGAGTTTCTTTAGGTGCTGTTTGACGTTTTCTAACAGTAGGTTCAGACTCTGTCTTTTGATTTTGTTTTGAAAACATTGCCACTTTTGCTAATACATCTGTGAATATAAGTCAGTAACATCAAGGTATTTTTAATTTATCGAAACTATGCAATTTTCTTCCTTTTTTTTCTTCTAATTTCTTTTTGAATCAAGTTCAGAAATACATTTAAATACAATATAAATAAAATATAAATAAAAAAATAGTGTCCAAGTAAAAAAATTTCATTTTTGTGTAATTATATGAAGTATATTGTTACAAACATTTCATAATAAACCTTAAAATGGTTTCTTAACAAATTAACGACAGTGTACCTTATCCTGAAGCTATATAATCGCATATACGACAGAAATGTCATATAATATGACAACCCCAAAGGATAGGTGATATAAAAGGTATACATAGACTGGAGGGTGGGAAGAATCGATTAATGTGTTACCTACAAAACACTGACGTGGATTTTCTATTAGCTTACCTTCAGCCTTCTTCGTTGGATAAAGTTTCTGTGCTTTACGTATAAATTTTTCGGCCTCATCGTACTTCTTTTCCCGAAGATATCGTTCAGCGAGTTCCATGCACCGCTCTGCCTCATCCTTATTGCTGTCCATGGTATTTTATCGAAAAATGAACTATGGTTTTTCTTAACGCAATGACAGAGCAGAATCGTAAATAAATTCGACAACTCCACTAATTCTCCGCCATAGCAATTTAATAAATTACGTCACGAACACGCTACGAAGTCATAGAATACTTTTACAAAGACGATACTCCGACATTTTTTAGGTCCCGATAGGAGGTAAACTGGCGCCACCAAAGGGAAGTAGGTGAACTACTAGATAGCTTTTCCCGTTTTTCAGGCACAATAATGAAAAAAAAACACATAATGATTATGCATTTCGTAATCAGGGGACGTAAATAGGTACCTTTGCGTTTCATGGACCAATAAAAAGAATGAACTAATTTAGGAACCCTCGATTACCGTCATCGATGAGAAAACGTCCAAGTTTGTCAATATTAATCATTATTTTTCATAAATGCTTAATTAATACGATTCTTTACTTATTAATACTATCATATACTGTTTTAATAAGTCAAATTTATCGTTTTTATGAATTTTCTTTAGTCAGTGGCGCCATTTAGCAGCAATAGTGGTAACTATTTTTTCTACAAACTTGGGTGTTTTACCACCGATGGCGACACTGGTGTCAAACTTTGAGGGTTCTGATCCAAGCTGATTTATTTTATATCGTGTACCTTTTCTTTTACATAACATCTTTGTTTTTTGCAATCTTAATTCTTTTAATTATTTCTTTATATTTAAGTCACAGGTTTTCGATACTTTTTTCTTGGTTCATGAAATGCTATGTAGGTACTTATGAATAATGTTTAATGATGATTGGTAAATAATAAGTATGAAATATTTAGAAGCGTCAATAAAATGTGTTTTATTAATATTTAGGATCTGTAAGTAGATGCCACAGGAGTAGTTACAATGCGTACTTTCATTTCTTAATAAAATATGAAATATGATAGTAAAACAATTACAGCAGTATCAAGTTTAAATCTCATATAAATTATGTTTAATCCTTATTCTATTGGCATGGTTTGTTGGCAGATATTCATTAACTATAATTGCATTGGTTGGCAGAGTCGTAGGTATGTTAGCACCTTTGGAACGCATTAGACACGCTGAAAAAGAAAACTCAATATATTACATAACATTCAATGCGTTATAGATTAAATAAATATTAATGAGAATAAATATTTACTGGATGAGGTGGTCGTGGGGGAGGAACATATACTGGCCGGGTAGCTTCAGCCTCTGGGTCTGCTTCACGACGAAGACGCTACGGAAAGCAATAAAGTTAAAATTAAATATTTTGTTATTATTTCTTAAAACAAATTTTATGTATGTATTAAGTATATACTTACTGGGTGAGGTGGTCGTGGGGGAGGAACATATACTGGCC